GCCAGTTAAAATAAGCTGCAATGGGGCTTTGGGTATGGATCAATGGTATGGCATGTGTTTAGCATGGACAAGGCCCTGGGTCCCATCCCCAGCATCACCACACACACACACACACACACACACACACACACACACACACACACACAAATCTTGTTAAACAAATAGGGTGCATTGTATGTCAGTAATATTCATGAAAGTAGAAAATCAAGTATAGCAGTCATGTGACATTGGTGTGTGGAGATCAGCTCAGACCAACCTGGCCCTGAGTTGATGGGTTCATGAGAACATGATACATATGTATGAGAAGAACATGATACACATATGGAGATCAGAAGAACATGATACTGATGTGTGGAGATCAGTAAAACATGATAATCATATGTCCAATGTGGACATCACGGGAGAGTATACTGATTTAGGAGATCAGAACATGACATTGAGGTATAGGGATCAGGAGAACTTGATACATATGTGGATTTGAGGAGACCATGACACATATGTAGTGGTTAGGAGAACATGGTATTGATAGGTGAGGATAAGGAGAAAATGGCATTCACATGTGGCGATCAGGAGAACATTTCACTGATAATGTGATGGTCAGGAGAACATGACTAATGTGTGAACATCAGAACACGATATGTATGTATGTGGAGGTCAAGAGAACATGGTATTGATATGTGTGCTCAGAAGAACATGGCATTTACATGTGAAAATAAGGAGAATATTTCACTGATAATGTGGAGGTCAAGAGAACAAAACACTCACATTTGGTACTCGGTGAAAGACAATACTCATATGTGGAACTTAGGAGAACATGACTGACATGTGGAGATCAGTGGAACATAATACATACGTAGCAATCAGGAGGTTATGACACTGATATGTGAAGCTCAGGAGAACATGACACACGTGTGTGACTCAGAAGAACATGGCGCTGACCTGTGCAGCAGGCAGCTGTAGCGAGGCTTAATTAGAGCAAAGATAAATCATTAGCAACTAGGTTTTCCCTCAAACATCAACGCCATGATTAGGCAAGAGGAGCGGGTCATAGTCTGCAGGTAACTGACCTATTCTCCAACACACTGTGGCCTTACTGAAAGCCGGACAGAAGTCACAGCCGCAGCACAGCCCCTGTGAACTTGAGAAAGGGTCCCCCTAGTCCAAAGACAATCCTACCTCTGATATTCAGGGCTTCAGACTTTTTCTCTTTTTTCGTCGTCTCTTCCGGTTCATTCTGGGTGTTCAGGGAATCACCTGCATTCAAAGAAGAAACCTTGTGTTGTGTATAAGTTCTACAAACAAAAAGAACCAATGAACTCAAAATGCAGTTCTGTTACGTTCAATACCTCCTAGTATACGGGAGTTCCCACCTCTCCCACGCTCAGCCCAGACAGGGGCTTTTCAACCCAGAGCAAGCCCGCGGACCACCCTTGGACACACAGTTCTCAAATGTAAACGGGGCGAGTATAAGCCTACACCTGTCCCCCAAACCCACAATACCAAGGGGCAGATGACAGCCCTGACATTGATGTGTCAAGGGAGGAAACGAGTCCAGATAGCAGCACCAGGGAAGGGGGGAGGGTTAGACAGTGCTCCCTATTGCCCAATAAGAATTGATTTCCAAGATCAATACTGTCACAAGGAGACAGGAGAGGATAGGATTGCGGGGGGTCAAGGAGGAAAAGAGGGAGGGGAAAATGGGATGGGGGAGAAGGCAGGGAAAGGAGAAGAAAGAGGAAGGAAGGGAGGAGAGAAAGTTAAGTTACAAGAGGGGCAGAATAGGCTGCGAGGAGGATTTTTGTTGTTGTTGTCAGTCAGGAAACAAAAGGAAAAGGAGGGAGTGTATGAGAAAAAGGGACCAGATGCATGGGGGGGGGGGGATGAGGGGAAGAACAAAGCGGTCCCAGTACGGAAGGATGCATCCGAAAGGCACCTGCTATATTCGAGAACACGGTCGCGCCCTCCTGGAGCATTTTTCCGGCCGAGGCCCCCCGGAGAGTCACTACTGCGTCTGAGCCGGGGGCTGTGGCTGCCACAGCTCCTTGGGGACTCCCCAAAGCGCCACAAGGGTCCCCCTGATGTGGCGGCTGCGGAGGGCGGGTCCGGCGCCTCCGGGTGCAGACCGCGAAACAGGCGCCGCAGTCCTGGAAGATGAGCAGCCCCACCACGTTGACTGCCAGCCCCAGGGCGCCCACGATGAGCACCAACTCCGGGTCGTCGATGCGCTCGGGCCGCGCGAGGCGTAGTACGGCCTCCACGAAGATGGTGAAGCAGAGCGCGGTGAGGAAGACCGCGTTGCTGAGCGCGCCCACCACTTCGGCCCGAGCATAGCCGTAGGTGGCGCCCGAGCTGCGGGTACCACGCCGCGCGATGTAGCCGGAGCCCAGGCCCACGCACAGCGAGATCAGATCAGACAGCATGTTGAACGAGTCCGAGAGCAGCGCGATGGAGTTGCCCAGGTACCCCGACACCAGCTCGGCCACGAAGAAGACCACGGTGAGCACCAACATGAACAGCAGCCGGCACGTCTTGCCGGAGTAGCGGCCCATCTCTGCAGCCCACCGCGCCCCGCAACAGGTTGGGGGGTCTGGAGCCTACCTCCTGCCGCAGGCCCACCCTGCCCCGCCGGGGCCTTTTGTACAGCCAGCTCACTCCCGCACGGCCAGAGTCTGCAGGAGTGGCCCCAGTATCGCAAAGGCCACCTCCCGGGGGCCCTGCCCCTCCTCCCTTGCCGCCCAAGCCTGACTTGGCAGGTGGCCACCGGCCTGTGTCTCCTTCTAGGACTGGGCTGGAGAGGAGAGCTGTTGGGAGGAGGGGCGCATCGGGATGCCAATCTTCTTGGATCCCCACCTCCACCCTCTTAGAGAGGCAGGATGCACCCGATGGTCCCCTCTTCCAGCTCTCCCCACCCCCACCCCCGCGCCACTACAGATCTGTGAAAGCCGCTGATAACGACCTGAGCTGCAGTAGGAGTGATCACTGCACACCCGTGCTTACGTGCCCAGACGCGAGTTGCAGGGCAGATTCCTTATGAGTTGGTGGGGCCAATTGCCATTAAAGGCGTTTCCGGCTTTTCCTTTGGTTAAACGGTATCTCATTCCTCACTTAACGCTCGCCCGCGTTCCTGTGCCCACCATCAAAGCCCTTTATCCTCTCTTCTTCACAAAGAGCGCGGATGCGTTCTGTTACTCCCTCATGGCACAGGATCCCCATATCCCCTTTGCAGGGGTCTCAGTGCTGATCTTTCTACAGAGGAGGGAAAGGCGGAAGCCCAGGCGGTTTGCAGCCACACAGGTGTAAGGATAAGCATGGAGCGCTGGTGCAGCACCCCAGGGCTAGATTCAAGTTCCTTGACCATCGAAGAAGCCAGGCCAGGCTTAGTCTTTCATAATATGCTGGAGAAAATTTCTGCTGGCCGCACAGATGACCCGATACCCCTAGTTCAATTGATTGACACAAGTCGTTTCTTCCAAACAGGCCCGCATCCAGGACATTCCCCCAGCAACCCCTTCAAAAAGGGGATTTGCCGTTGTCACTTCAATGGGGTGTGATGGGGAGCCCTGTAACTCACTCTCATTTTAGGAAGGGTCTGAAGGCGAAGCAGAGCAACCTCTCTCCACGTCTCCCCACAAACTTTCACCACCCCCAGCAAGAAAAATGCCCCAGTCTGGAGCTTGAAAATGAATACAAGGCCTCCCTCAAAACAAAGCCATCAGCAAGTCATAGTAGTGCATGCGGGCCTTCACTCTCAACTGTTCTCAAGGAAGCTTGAGACTGGAGTCCATTAGCAAAACATTTAACTTAAAAAATAATTTGGATTAAGTTTGTTGATACGGCTTACAAGTGGAGGCCAGAAGACAACTATTGGGGGCTGATTCTCTCCTTTCACATGGTCTCTGGGATTAAACTCAGAACCCCAGGCTTGATGCCAAACACTTTTCATCTGCTGAACCATCTTTCCAACACCACCTATTTTTGTTTTATTTTGTGGCCTGCTAGGCTTAACCAGGGCAGCCCACGTAACATTCTACCTTCCAATGCCATTAAAATATCCCTGATTTGCTGGGCAGTGGTGGTGTATGCCTTTAATCCCAGCACTCGGGAGGCAGAGGCAGGCAGATCTCTGTGAGTTCGAGGCCAGCCTGGTCTACAAGAGCTAGTCCTGGGACAGGCACCAAAGCTACAGAGAAACCTGTCTAAAAACAAAAAAATCCCCGATTCAAAGGTTCTATCTTACTATGAGGGAAGCCCCAACTACAAGAAGCTTATTAACACTCCCTTTTTATCCAGACAGATGACTCAAGCCTGTAACCCCAATATTTGGTAGGCCGAGGCAGGTGGCTTACTATAATAGGTCAACTGTGAGTTTGTCTTTAAACAAATAGACAAACAAATATCTCTAGGAGAAATATCTCTACACGAGAACGCAAGGAAATTCTCTAAGTTAATAAATAAATAAAAGTGATAATATAGAACTAAGAAGGTATAGACAATGAAAATTTTAAGCTATAGAGGTTTCGACAGGTTCCATAATCATCTGGGCCTGTTTTCATTACTGTAAAGTGGGGTTGATGATTGTATAGCAAGGACAAAGCAAATCAGTGTGTAAAGTGTTTTTCATGGCACCTAGTATACAGTAAGCACTCAATAGATGCTGCGGTTATAGTTGCTAGGGTGATTAGCAGTAGTGCAGTACACGTCATAGGATCACTGCTGGCCAACAGATAAAATGCTAATGTACACACACCAGAGTTGCATTCAGCTGCTCTCCCCAGTATATAGCCTACATTGTCTTCAAACGATGGAACCTCTACAATTTTTGACATATGACACTATGACAGCTGAGTGTGGCTGAGAGTTTAGCTCAGTGGTAGAACGCTTGCCTCGCACATGCGAGACTCTGGGTTCAAACCCCAGCGCTGACTGACAAGAGAGTAGGGCCTACTACAACTCACACAGCACGGCTCACGCGTTCCTGCCTAATTGTAGTTCTTGTTCATTCACAGCTGGGAAAAAACCCCAGAAATCAGCAGAAACATATCACTCCTGCCTCCTGGTTAGTCATTCTCCCAGCCAAGGCAGATAAGAAGTGTGGCGCTGGCCCAGGAGCAATACATTAAGAAAAGCCAGAGGCTGAGGAGCAGGGGGTGTCACAGGTATCTGATGTTCCTGACCACAGCCAGTTCCTGACCACAAGGTAAGTGTTCCACATGCTGCCCATAAAATGCACTATAGAAAAGTGGGGAGTGTGTGTGGCACTGTGTGTGTTGTGTTTGCATCGGTGTGTGTGCATATGTCTTCCCCAGTCAGTTCCACTTTGGGGGGATGGGAGAGGGGAGAGCAGTCTCTCGCTGAACCCCAAACTCCCTGATGATCAGCTGGGCTGGCTGGCCAGGAGCTGTGGAAATCCATCTGTCTCCACTTCTCCATCAGTGAGATCACGGGATGTGCAGAACGTGCCCCCCTTTTCACATAGTTGCTGGGGATTGAACTCGGGTCCTCACCCTTGCACGGCAGCACATTGCTGACTGGGTTGTCTCCCCAGCCCCCAGAAAAACGCTTTGCCTAACCTACACTATATGGCCTATCTAAGTCACTTGACGGACACAGGCTGCCTTACAATGTAGGTTTCAGCAGCTTTTTGTTTACTGAGTTCTTATTTGTAGCCCTGGACCGAGTACATTATAGGCATTATCCAATTCTACCTTCCAGTATCCTCATGCAGCATTTTAAACATATGAAATAATGTTTTATTACAAACAATTTTGTTTCTGAAGAAGTTGAAGCCTGGAGTTTTGAAGCCACCACAGTAAGATCACACAATCTGGAAAATGACAGGTGGAAGCCCTGACCTAGGCAGAGAACGCCCAAAGTTTTCTTCATACGTGTTTTCTTCACGTGTACCAGATTGATCTTTTCAAATACTTTTGTTCTAAAGAAAATAAATAAAGAAATAATAGGGTTGTATTCGTTTTTGTTTTGAGAGAGGGTCTTTCTGTGTAGCCCAGGCTGGCTTTGAACTCAGTCTTTCTGCCTTCTCCTCCTAGTACTGGGATTATAAATTCCCTTTTTGATGGCCCAAAACCTGATGCATTGCAGTTCATACATCTGGGGATTATTATTCTTTCTATATTGGCATTTTGCTTTTAATATATCAGTTTTAAAACGTGACTTTCAAAATAACTGAGGTAGTTAGTAAGACGGCTCGGCAGGTAAAGGAACCTGGCACCGAGCCCGATGATCTGAGTTCAATCTCGGAAAACCTACAAGGTGAAAGGAGAGAGCTGACTCCCACAGACTGTCCTCTGACCTCCACCTGAGCACTATGGACTCCACCCATGTGCACACGTATGCACACGCGCGCGCACACACACACACCATAAAATAAATAAATAAGCATAAAAATTGAATTAGAAATAAATCAGCTTATCATGGTCTTTAAAATTGGGCTGACCTGGAACCAAATCTGGGCACTACTATGTGCTACAAGTCACATGACCTGGACAGGGTCCTCACATCTTCTCCTTCCTCATTGGGGTGTTGGGGTAACAGTTGTAGCAACATCTAACTTGTGGGGCCGTCATGAGACTCACGTAGGGAAATAAAAGTTTATAGGAAAGGCTCACAGGTAAGTAAGTGTTTATAGGTAACCCCTCCCCTGAGTTTGGTAGTTCAGCATGGAGGAGGCAGATCATTCCTCTCATCAAAGGATTCAAAGCTTTGGTCTGTCTGAGTGTTTGAAGGGCAGAGAGGCCAGGCTGTCGGGGATCCTCTGTGTTATGAACACTGTGTCTCTGGTCTATGGTGACTTAGAGAGACACTTTAAATATTTATTTTCAGCTTCATCTGAAAAGCAAAGAAATGTATACAAGCATCTAGTAAGCAGTGTCGGGGCTGGTGGGGTGGCTCAGCTGGTCAAGGCCCTTCCTGAGCAAGAGTGCGGACCTGGGTGCAATCTTTGGAACAAAGGTAAAAAAGGGAGAAGAGAAACGATTCCACCAAGCTGTCCTCTGACATTCACATGCATGCTGTGGCCCCCATGTGTGTCTACACACACACACACACACACACACACACACACACACACTTAGAAACAAGTAAGACAATTCAAAATCCCTGCAACTATAAGAAACAAATCATCAGAATGACAATATTTCCACAGAAACAAAACACAGATCCCCGTTTAATTGACTGTAGAGATTTATTGTTGTTTTGTTTTGGAATACAGGATTGTTATGTGTAGCCCTGGCTAACCTGGAACTTGCTGTATAGACCAGGATGGCCTTGAACTCAGAGATCCACCTGTCTTTGCCTCCCAAGTGCTGGGATTAAAGGTGTGTGCCACTACTGCCTATGTGGGATTTTTTTTTAAGGCATAGATTTGTCCAGAGTACCAAGGATGATGAAGGATTTCCCACAAAGTATTTCAGAATACACTAAGTTTGAGAGAAATTGAATTGATGTTGTGACTCGGTTTTCATGACAGAAGTGAGAGGCATGAACAAGGATAAACCAGTCAACCTCCCTCTGGACGGGACACCCATGAAGCTGAAACAGTCCTTTGTCCTGTCCTCACTTAAGCACAGACAGTATCTACCTGGGATTCACTTGTGGTTACAAACACTGACTTTGGACTGTCAGTCTCATCCCTCCTCCAGGTAACAAGAGCATCCCCAGAAAGCCACTAGAATAGTGAGCATCGCTTGTTAACTTACAAGGATCTGGAATCCCTAAGGGACTCCTTCATAAGAGAAAGTATCTAGCTTGAGTCAATTGAGGTGGAAAGGTAGGCTGCACCATTCCACGATCTGGGGCCCTGGACTGCTTAAAAGGGAGAAAGTGAGTTGAGTAGCAGCCCCAAAGTCTCTGATTCCTGACTGAGTGCTCAGAGGCCAGCTGCCCTACGTCCTGCCACGTGGCTTCTTCATCGTGACACACTGCCCAAGGTCTCCGCATAAACCAACCCTTCCTTCCCTAAGGTGCTTTGGTTAGGTATTATTCGCAGCATGGAGAAGAGTAACTAATAGTCACTGTCATGGGGAACGCTGCTCAAGGCCTGTAAAGGTGTGAATATGGTTGGGGGAAGAAGAGGAGAGCATTAGAGGCCAAACCAGGAAGTTAGAAAACACTTCCCGTTCAGAGTTCAACTCACTGGCATGTGGAGTCTGATGGGGAGTGGGATCAGCTGTGTGACTACTTCTAATTCAAATGAATTCTCAAAGTTAAAGAAAAAAGGTGGAAAATGCCATCTTGGTGTTCATTCTAAACCTCACAATAGTTTTAATGGCAAGTAAAATTCTATATTGCTTCATAATTTACAAAAAGATATGTTATTTGAAGCCATCGGGGATAACTCACACAAGCGTCTTTCTTCATCGGCTGGACTTCTCTGAATCTTTAGACTACCTGAAAATGAAAATGGCCATTTGCCCAAAAGATTATGAGAAACAACTGTTCAAATAATCCCAGTTGGCTGAGTGTGGTGGTAAATGCTTGTACATCCCAGCATTTGCAAAGCAAAGACAGAAGGGTCATGAGTTCCAAGTCAACCTCTGCCACCTAGTGAGTCTCATACCATCCTAGGCAACATAGGGAAACCCTATCTCAAAAACTTTAATTAATTAAAACCTCCTGGTACGTGCCTTCATGTACCCAATGCGCTGGTTCCACATTCAGGGTGGGGCAGCACACGGGCACAGGTTAAAGAGGCATGAAGACCTCAGAGCCAATCCCAGCCCTGTTGGGTGTGAGCCAGTATGTCATTTGTGTTCCCATTTATAATCTAGTCATGGGGTATCACCCTCTTCTGCAGGGAATCAAACAGAATAACACATGTGCCCTGCTGGCACAACACCCGTAGATAAGCTGCTGGCAGCCCCTCCCATTACCAGCTCACCATCAACCTCCCCAGAACTCGATTTCTACTGACCAAGCAGTATTGTAGGATCTCTTTGAGAGGTATATAGAATACTACATATTTCATAAAATCATTTATTTCCCTTTAGTCCAACTAACCTGATTAGTTTAATTGGTTTAGAACTAACTAGCTACTGGTTAACAGCACATTTCACAAATTTGAATATATTTAAAGGGCTAGGAAATGTATGTAACTCAGTGGCATAGCACCTGCCTGGCATGTCCATGGCACTGTATTCAATCCTATACTACCACTTTTAGGTCTCAAACTCAGGACAAATGGCTGAGGTACACTTTAACATGCCAAAGTAGATGCTGGGCTAGCTCCAGGTTCTCCCTGAATCCCACTGGGATTTCTTCTTTGGACTCACCTGCTTACAAAGAACAGAGCTCTTAGAGAGGAAAGTAGCTGAGGTAATGTACCTGGGTGTTAGGGTGAGGGGGTCTGGGAGTGGGCAAATGAGGTTAATTCTCCAACATACTCTGGTTAAGATAGGCAATGAGGAGTGTCTAGAGTCCAAAGAAACCTGTGGGGATAGGGATGATGGAGAGACAGAGGATAGAGTTGATGGGCAGACGGAGGATAGAGATGATGGAGACACAGAGGATAGAGATGATGGAGACACGGAGGATAGAAATGATGGAGACACAGAGGATAGAGATGATAAAGACACAGAGGATAGAGATGATGGGCAGACAGAGGACAGAGGTCATGAAGAGACAGAGATAGAGATGATGGAGACACAGGATAGAGGTGATGGAGACACGGGATAGAAATGATGGAGACACAGAGGATAGAGATGATGGGCAGACAGAGGACAGAGGTGATGAAGAGACAGATATAGAGATGATGGAGACACGGGATAGAGGTGATGGAGACACAGGATAGAGGTGATGGAGATACAGGGTAGAGATGATGGAGACACAGGATAGAGGTGATGGAGATACAGGGTAGAGATGATGGAGACACAGGATAGAGGTGATGGAGACACAGGATGGAGGTGATGGAGACACAGGATAGAGGTGATGAAGACACAGGATAGAGGTGATGGAGACACAGGATAGAGGTGATGGAGACACAGAGGATAGAGATGATGGGCACAGAGGATAGAGATGATGGGCAGACAGAGGATAGAGGTGATGGAGAGACAGAAACAGGGCATCCAGGCAGGTCCAAAGTAAGGATAGGCCACATTGAGTTTGATCAAGTCACAGCAGCTCACTGCTTACAGAAGAACTGCTAAAAGAACAGCTAATAGTCACCTTCTCTCTCTGAGACTGTTAGTATTATTATTAGCTTCAGTCTTAGGTACAAAAGAAATGAAAGTGTAAGTCATTTGCTCCTCCAGAAACATCCAACAAATTGAGCTAGAGGGAGAGATAGCTTCCCTGGGCCTAGAGAAACACAATGAAGAAAAAGAAGTGTGCCCACATCTGAAAACTCTTCAAAGGGACTTAGATCAGGCTAACCCAGGGACTGACAACCAGAGACAGAAAGGCGAGACTTCGGGGAGCAATCTGGACTGCAGTCCATCCTCTGCTCCGTAAGAGAGAATCAGACTCTGGAATGCTTAACACCCATCACCCTAAAGGTGCAGGTGCTTCCTAAAACAAATACAACTGGGGTGTGATGCCAGCATCCTGTGCCTGTTCCCTCACGGTGGTGGGTAGTTGTGTGTAGAAGGGAGCCCATTGGTTTTAGTTTAAAGATTGTCCAGTTGGGGTGAAGGAACTCGAGGAGTTTAATCTGCGTCATTTATGATGCTTTTGTTCAAGTTCAGGGCATTTTTGGGAGTCTGTGGGAGAGGCGAGTGCATTTTGCCCATGGAAAAGATTGGCAGTGCAGAACGTTTTTTGAAGATGCCTTCTCCCCATCTCATCTTCTACAGCATGACTGACATCCAGACATCATGCTGACATCCAGACGTGGGGCTACGGGCCTGACACTCCTGCCACCTCGTCGCCACATTCTCGGATTTGGAAGACAGAGATGTTTCAGCTTTGGTTGTCCAAAAGTTGTGCTTGGAGTCTTGTGCCACATCCAGCCATGTTCTGAGGCTGCTCTTGCATGAAGAAGCCACACGGACAGGTTACCTGTAGGTTGTCTGACCAGCGGTCCTGAGCATCAAGACTTACCAGACTGTGTACCGGATGTGAGTGACTGCAGTCTCCAGCCACAAAGTGTCCTCGGTCCCCTAGGCCACCCCCAGCTTCCCTAGGTGAGACCTCGGACACCGTGCATACAGGCAGGCTGTTCACACTGTGTTCCTTCCAAACCCCATACTGCAGAATCCCTGGGTATAAATTTGAGGTATTATGTTAAACAGTAACCGGGAGAGCTGTGTGGCCACTACACACTGACATCTGTGGAACTTGGAACTATTTTAAGCAAAGCCCAGGGAAACTAACATAAAATATTTATGGTGTAGCAAACAGAACAAGAAAGAGATGGGACTATTCAGACACAGACAGGGAATACTGGTTGGGATCAAGGTAGGGCAGCGATGGTTTGAATTGAGCCTAGGGCAGAGGCTAGGTGTAACTAGAATTGAGCCTAGGGCAGAGGCTAGATGTAACTAGAAAATGCCTTTCAAGCGAGAATGTCCAGCTCAGGGCTGAGAGCTGACGAGATCTGTTTGGACAGCAGATGCTTTTGGCTGACCCAAAAGACACTGACTTCATTCCTCTCCCTGTGATTAGAAAACAAAAACAACAAAAAATTCTATGTTTGAAAAATCCAACGTCTGACCCAGAAAAGAACAAAGAAAAGGAAGACAGTCTAGTAAGAGCAGAGGCCTTCCATATGGTGGAGCAGAAAGGAGGCCAAGTGTGGAGCTTTAATTAAACCATCGGGCCACTAGCACGCAGCCCAGCCTTTGGGAGAGCCGAGCCCTGGAGGCCTGTCTCCAGCCTCAGGCTGACAGGCAGTACTGAGAAGCAATGGGAAGACAGCCTGGAGAAGCACAGAACACGAGTGGTTACCAAGCTCTGAAGATCCCAGGCAATGTCTGCTCTTGAGGTGATGATAAGCCTAGCACTAAAATGAACTTTAGGGAGCCACTCCCTGAGGAAACGGAAACACAGGACCCACAGGTTCTAAGGAGGCTGTTGAGGTGAACAGAGCGGCCTCCCTCCTTCCCTTCTTCCGCCTTCTCTTTTGTTTCTCTCCCTCCTTTTCTTCCCCACTCTCACCTTCTTCCTTCCTAACTTGCTTTGTCCTCCCCTTCTTCCTCTTCCCTCCCCTTCTTCCCCATTTCTCCCTTCTTTCCCTCTTCTCTCATTGTATGGAAAAGTTCCACAAAGCCTGAACCCCAGGACACCATTGCTAAACTCTGCAATTACACAGAGGATATGCATCACTCCCTGGGAAGGGTCCGGGTGACACAGAGGAACACCTCTATACAATACCCTGTGCTAACGGAGCGGCTAGAGCTGAGTACTCGGCAGGCCTGGACCTTGACCAGTTCTGGTGCCCTCGGACCATGAGAAAATAAGCTATCTAGAGGGGGCAAAAAATACAGTAACACAATAAACATCAGAATTAGGTCTACAATTTGGAGAGAATGGCAAAGCCAGAGAGAAACACTTTTCTCACACTGCTGAAGTATATGTGTGTGTGTGTGTCCCCACGCACACATGCCTGTGTGTGATGTGCACATGCGCAGGGGTGTGGCTCACAATGCCTGTGTATAAGAATGGAGGCCAGAGGAAGATGTCATCTTCCTGACCGGTCACACTCAGCCTCACTCCCTTGGGATACGGTTTCTCTGACTCTGGGGCCAGGCTAGGCTATCAGCCAACAGCCCCAGAGATCCCAGTGGTCCTCCTGTGTCTGTCCACTGGGCTAGAGGTGCTGAAGCGGCCTTGCCTTTCCATGTAGTGGTTGGGGATTCCATAGTCTTGCTTGAGCATTCTCGTTTTCTTACTAGGTGAATCTTCTCCCCAGGTCTCACATTGCCAGGTTCTAAATTGATCCTTGTCAGCAATCATGAACATCTGCCTTGCAGGAAATGCTGAACTGTGATGAACTAAATTCACCTATAATAAATGGTCTCCCTTTAGGTCATTTTGTCAAACTTTTTGACTTCTTTAAAAAATGTGGTGAGAAATTCTAAAAAAAAAAAAAATTAAGACTGAAGCCAGGAGTTTGTGAGATGGTTCAGTGGTTAAGAACACTTGCTGCTCTTGCAAGTGTTTAATTCCCGGCCACCACATGGTGGCTCTCAACCATCCATGGTGGGCTCTCAACTCCAGTTCAATGGGATCCATTGCCCTCTTCTAGACTGAGGGCACCAGGAAGGCACATAATGTAGACACACATGCAGGTGAAACACCCATACACATTTTTAAAAAAAAAGTAAATAAAAATTCAAAAGCTAAAACCAAAGTCAAGGTAGAAATTTAGAATGGTAAGCTGAGGCTGGAGTCCGACCTCAAGATCTGACAAGGAAGAACGCTGCATCCCTCATTTAGAACAGACACGGGATTGTATGCAGCTTAAAAGGTTAAATGTTGATGGGTGTTATGAAGCTAGATCCCTCAGCGGAAAATTCAAACTCAAACACAACAATTAAATATAGAGAATCCAGGCGGGCAGTGGTGGCTCACACACTTGGGAGGCAGAGGCAGGTGGATCTCTGTGAGTTCGAGGCCAGCCTGGTCTTCAAGAGCTAGTTCCAGGACAGGCTCCAAAGCTACAGAGAAATATTGTCTTGAAAAGACAATAGATAGATAGATAGATAGATAGATAGATAGATAGATAGATAGATA